CAACAACAACAACAACAACAACAACAACAACAACAACAACAACAACAACAACAACAACAACAACAGCAACAGCAACAGCAGCAGCAGCAGCATCAGCAGCAGCAGCAGCAGCAACAGCAACAACAGCAACAACAACAACAACAACAACAACAACAACAACAACAACAACAACAACAACAACAACAATGATTTAATTTGTGTCTTTACAATGCTAACTACAATCAGTCTCTCAGATGAATTAATATAGTATGACACCGGTTGTCTAAGTAACAATATGGGCTAACAAAAATCACTAACAAAAATAGACAACCATAAATCAGAACCGGTTATCATATGAGAACAAAGTTCAGTAGATTCTATGAGGAGATGCGCGCAAGATCTACAACCTGATTGACCTGATTTATTGTTGCACCGGTTGTAATCATATAGCAGTATAGTGTTGTTATCATAACGTTTTCTTTGATTGAAGAGTTATGGATAACACTGCCACTACTTTTAAAAAAAGTAAAGAGGTTTTTTAGAACTCCCATAGCAAACCTGTCAATAATCTTTTCCTTATTGTTCCTTAACTGCAGCACAATATCGTGTCCCAGTCGATATATTCGTGACGATATTTTAAGGAACAGGTCATTATTTATGACGGGGTGGTACCGAAGGGAAAAGGGTTGGGTAAACAACATTTTGAGCAAGTAAAACGTTGTAATGAGTAAATGAACAACAAAACAACTCAAGGGTTGGGTAATAAAAAATCCAATCTATTGTCGTTTCCAAAGCATTACTCACCCAAATAATATACACTGGGGAAAAAATGTGAAATCCATACTATGAAATTTGCAATTGCACCACTAAATCCATAGTCTACCCATGCTATTTCGATACTATATATCCATAGTGACATAGTGTAGAAATATACAATTATTATGGATAATCAAAATCCATTCTATTTCCAATAAAGGTCCATACAATTTCCGTTCTATGACCTTCTATGGATTTTCAATTTTTTTTCCAGTGATATGCATTGAAGACTAAAAAGCAATGTCAACCGTCATATGTCAATACATTTTGTAAATTAATCAGAGTCACTATCTTGATCATTTTCCAATTTGTCTGGAGGCAAATGGTGTCTCAAAAAAAGGTACATGTGCAGACAACATGAAACTTTAGACTGCAGAACATTGCACAAATATTTATCAAACTGATATCACTGAAGTGGTAAAGGACGTGTGAGACAACAGAATGGTATCCTTTTGTAAGGTTATTGGCCAGAGGGCAGAGGTGGGTATGTTTTTTTAATTGATATTTGAGGTTGGGCAAAAAATTATTTTAACATTATAATTAATAGTTGAATCTGCAGCACAAGTTTGAAACCATTTGTCTTCGGTGCCAGTCCGAATCTGTCGTTCCTCCAATAATTCCAGGCCCACAAAATTCTTCGGGATTCGGATTGCGTCCGACTGTTCAACCCTTCAGCTAGCGGCTCCTGCTTTTGTCATAAAAGACGAGTGATGGACACGCTGCGTACGATAGGAAAAATACATATTAATTTAAATTGGTACAGCTCTACACTTTTTACACCCCAGTCCAATTACACAGCTGCATGGCGACAGAACATAATTTTTAATCTCTTCTTAAAGCTCGCTGATATTGCATTGTCCAGCAAAGCATAAACGTAGGGATTAAGGCAAGCCGAACCAATGTAGAGCATTGCTGAAACCCACAACGCTTGCTTCGTATCGTAAACTCTATTAACGAATGTCATTTGCTGTTGAATTTGAAGAGGAAGATTTGAAATAACAAAAATGACCACAATTATTATACCGGTAAATATGGCTTTGGTGTTTCGCTGTTGCAACGCGAATGCCAAACGAGACTTGGTTACTGAATCTGGCCTTTGCGTCACGTTGCAACTTTGCCGAATATTTTTCGAATGTTTATGAAGCGAGAAGCAAAGTTTAGCATAAAGAAGGCTTAAAAATATTATAGGCATTAAAAATTGTAAGGCTAGCTGACTATGCAAGTAAATATCGTATAAAAATATCCCCAAATATGTATCAGAACAGAGGTTAGAATAGTTAGAATGTGTTTCGACGTCAAGCGAAACGACTTTTGGCGCCAAAAGTACTACGGAAGTCAGATACACAAGCACAATGATAAAAGTCACTCGTTTTCGACTAAGTTTCTCCTTAAAAGGATTCACGACACTTCGGTGCCGCATATAACCAATCATGACCATAAAATACACACCAGTTGTATAAAACAACGTACTTCCAGCCAGCCAGAACTTACAAATTAATCCAAAGTTTTTAAGAACGATGCCATTATACCCAATCCACGGTAGAATTTGCCATGCGATTATGGAACAAGCCAAAAGTCCAATGTCACAGAAGGATAGCTGTAGGACTGTTAGATAATAGTTCGTTTGTAAACGACGTTCACTTAGCACGGAAATAACCACCAATAAATTGCCTGTCAAGCCAAATATTTGAATCACTGCGAAAACTGAAGATTGAAGCCAAAGATCACTCGATGAAGTGTACGCATATTGAAATATTCTGGGCCTATTTGGCCCAAACGTTTGGTTTGAAATATTATTAATGTTTGGCATGTTTTAGGCACACAACTATACGCTTCAAAACATAGACCGTTGCGGACCGTTTACAACTAATATACTGTATATAATTTTTTTTGAATTGTTATTAAAAACTGTTTAAGTCATTAAGAGGCAGCTGGATGACATATTAATTAAACTAAAGTCAAAAGCACAATTTTGTATATTGTAATGAGTTCGAGTTAATCTGGAGTTCGAGTTAATCTGAAGTTTGAATTCCGATCCCCTCGAGTTTCAAGCGGCCAAACAAAAATTATACGTAAACCGTATAATCCCTAACGGCTAACCATATAACTCTGACCCTACCCCAAATTCTCAAACTATAATCTCGGCTTGAACTCGGTTATAAGTCGGTTATAATTCGGCTTGAACTCGAGCTCATAACTTACATTTTGCTAGAACTATATACTTTTTTATTTATATAGCCGCATTTGATTAAAAATAAAACAAATAAATGTCATGAGACCACGGCTATATATATATATATATATAGCTGTCAGAAGAGAACGGAACACTTCTGCATTATATTACAATATGTTTGCATAGCGGCCTCGCCGGGTTTATTAATTAAAGAGCATTTTAATTTGAGATTTTTAATTTTAACGGCTTTTGAAATTTAGTAAATACAAAAAGAGTAAATACAAAAACCAAACAATTATACCGAAGTTGTCCTCATATATAAATCCTCACTCTAAATATTTATTATACACAAAAAACAATACGAAATATATGAATTCACTTGTCTCAAACCCTGTCAATTGTCTCTTAACCTTGTCTATTGTCTCTCACCGTCTCACAATAACAAAGTCATTATACCATATATGGTAATGTTGCGCGTGTCTCTAAATATAGCTATTACTGTTCAGAGTTCATCACACACTCCCCTAACAAATTTAAACCAATTATAAATTTTTAACAACAACGGTCTACACAGTAATATTTACTTCCCTTTAATCGTCCTTCAACTGTTCTCTGATGTTAACTTTCGCGATCTTTGCTGCTTTCCGTTCTGGTCTTTTCTTTAATTTATCATCATTATCTTCAGTACTTTCGTTGTGTCTTCCTTGATCTTCCTTAACCACGCTCCTTATCTCCAAAGGACATACTAGCCGAACAGGTCGTTCCAAATAGTTACCTTTATGTAATACAATAACTCCTCTAATTACACTGTCCTTTCCTTTCACGTACTTCACAACTTTGCCTTTCATCCACCGTCCTCGGTTCTTTTCGTCCAAATCTCCGGTTTGCATATTGTCCTCGTCAGTCCCACTCTTCACCAACTTTGCTTTCTTGTTTTTCTCCAATTTTTCTTTCATTCTACTTTCGTCTGTAATTTTTCTTTTCTTTTTCTTACGTTCACTTGTCTTTTCAACACTACTAGTTTCTTTAGTGTTTCCCTGTGAAACAACATTACTTTTCATTTTCCCTTTCGTTTTTATGCCATTTTCCTGAAGGTTCTCTACTTCGTTTTCTTCTCTTTTCCTCTCAACATCATTCATCAATTCAAATGTTTCATCTTGGTCAGAATTATCGGAAGCATTTTCGTCTTCATCACCTTGTCCTTCCTTTGTTTCTTCCGCAGTTACTGACTTCAGTTTTCTCAACCGTTCTGGTGTATTTTCATGTTCCTCAGTTTCCTCATTCATGTCTTCTCTTTCTTTTCCATCGTTCAAAACCCACGGATTTTCCGAACTATTACCGACCAGTCCAAAATTTCTAAAATTCTCGGGAATCTCTGCGCTATCTTTGGCTTTATTCGCCTCCTCTCTGACGACATGTTTGTGGGGTATATGATATACTCGTTCACCATTCTGTTTCACTGGTACACCTTCAATGATACCCGATTCTAATTGCTTCTCGATTGCTTCATCATAATTGTTGTTTAACTTCTCATCTCGCTCGATCCTTTTGCATACGTTAGCTAATCGCTTTCCACTTGGTTCTAGATTGCTATTTGGTAAAGACTGTCCTGGAATCGATGGTACTTTGACTTGATATCTACCGTCATCAGCCCGAGTAATGTTTTCTTTAAATTCATGATAAACGTCCAGTTGGTCGTTCTCCCCTCTACCTTCAATTCCAACTACATCCAGTGTATACAATTGCTCGTAGTCATTTGGTTCTCTTGTAAACATACACACATTGTTCGAAATACCTCCACCATGAACAATCCAACCAAACGAAGTACCTTCAACGATAGGATCGCCATCTTTTCCTTTGTAGACTTCCTCTGTCTTAATCTTGCAAAATGTGTTGTCACCTAAGATCATGTGTATTGGATATTCACCATCTCTTAAGGTAAAACCTCTTATCGTTTGTGTGTTCATAATTCCATTTAAGTTTGTTCATGTCCGGTCTTTTCACTATTGTGAAATCTTTCATTGTCGACCCGGCTAGCTCTATATCTTCCTTGGTTGATCCATCTAATGACTCGATTGTTACATTGTAAATAGGCATGGACTGTCTTTTTGTTCCATTAATGGTGATGGTTTCTTTCGATTCATGTCGTGCTGCAGAAACTTGAAGTTTCTTTACTGCTTCCTTTGAAATAAAATTCCTGCCCGATCCTGTGTCCAAAAATGCCCAGAAAACTTCTCCATCCACCTTAACTGGGATTATGGGGGGTAATGTAATCTCGTCTGTTGTTGTTGAGTAGCCTGTTAGTACTGTACCATCACCGTCGTTTTCGTTCTGATCATGTAAACTGGTATGATGTGTCTCCCCACAGTGATAGCGCCCACGACTCCTACAATGTCTAGCCCTATGTCCCGGGCTACCGCAATTGAAGCATGAATTGTTCTCACCGAAGTAAGCCTTTCTTTGAGCTGTGGTTATATAAGACTTGCACATATCACTCCAGTGTTCAGCTTTACAGAACATACAACAAGGTGTCTTTTTTCCTCTTTCGTTCTCTTTACCTCCATTACGTGCAAACAAGTTTTTCTCTCTTCTTCTTGGGTCACCTGTTGATTTATCTTCTTCAGTTTGGTTTCTTCGTAACCATTTTTGCAGACTATCAACTAAGTTCTCCATTTTCCATTCCTCCCAATCTTCATCAGTCCTTACCAAGTCTGACTTCACATTTGGCAACTTATTAATAGTACACATCACAAATCCATCTAATTTCTCATGTTCACCGAGAGTCTGTAGGGCGTCATAATTCTTGCTCAAATGTTCGTAGAACGCCAGGATCTTTTCATAGGAGGACCCTCGTACTGTGGGTAAATTTACTACTTCATCAATATGTGCATTCACAACCAACTTTGTTTGACCGTATTCCTTTTTGAGTCGTTCCCAAGCCGTTTTATATCCAATCGAGCTCGGTTTGAGGTTTGATCTTATCCCTGACTTTTCCACTCACCATTTCAAGTAAATAGCCAAACTTTTCCTCATCACTAATTGGCTTAGAATCGACCTGTGTAATAAACATGTCCTCAAACCTTACCCAGTCTGCTATTGTTCCATTAAATTGTGTTATTTTCAATTTAGGAAGTTTAGCTAGAGTTAATCTTGCAGCTTTTTCCATTTCTAGCTTTTTCTCCGTCATTCTAAGCTCTGCTTGTAATTTTTCTTCGAGCATTTGCCTCTCTTGGTCTCGAATTACTTCCCTATTACGCTCTTCTTCGATACGTTTCACGTCTCGTCGCTTATTTTCCTCCTCCGCGGCAATATTTGCTTGTCGTTTAGCCAGAAAATCAGACAGTTTGTTCATTTCATTTGCCCATGGCATATATCTATCTCTTACCTCTTTCTTCCATTGTCGAATTTCCCGTGATGTACTTTTTCCCAGCTCAACTTTCGTCTCTTGAGCGGTCGAAACAAGGCTACATATTTGATCCAAAATCGCCTTTGTACGCTTGTTTACTGTTTCGATTTCCCTCAGAACTTGCTCTTCGATAAGCTCGTCGGTTTGTTCCAAATAATACTTTAACTTTTCTATTTCCTTGTTGATTTTATTCTCAATTTGTTGCTCGCTCGCTTGTTCTTCTGGGTCGCTCATTTTAACTCTCGCTTATCGTCGTAAATATAGTTGTAAATTTGTTGAAATTCCCCGTAAAATATCACTTGTTTCCCTTGTTTACATCCTGGTCACGGCACCACTATATACCGAAGTTGTCCTCGTATATAGATCCTCACTCTAAATATTTATTATACACAAAAAACAATACGAAATATATGAATTCACTTGTCTCAAACCCTGTCAATTGTCTCTTTAATAACCTTGTCTATTGTCTCTCACCGTCTCACAATAACAAAGTCATTATACATGATATATGGTAATGTTGCGCGTGTCTCTAAATATAGCTATTACTGTTCAGAGTTCATCACACAATATAACCCGAATATATTAATTCGTATCCATAAAGCTGGTCTTATGTATTAATCAAAGTGCGTGCAACAGGTAGGCAATTTGTCTGAGCATGCGCGCAGTAAATCAATATGGCGACATATATCAGGAGTGTTTCGAGGATTTATCTGGTTTTAAAGCTGATAAAACAACATTTTAATGAACGAAAACTTTGTAATATTTCGTGGAAAACATTAAGCTGTGCATTCCAAAGGTTTTAATTTAAAAATAAGTACTTTTTCTTTATTTTATTGCTTTTTATGCTTTGAAAACAAGCAAGCTCATATTTTTTGAAAAAAATTTATCTAATATTTTACCCATTATTTGTTTAATCTGAACAAAAATAGATAGAACACTTGGCTATATAAGTTATAAAGGTATTGTTAGCTGATCTGAAAGATTTCAGTATTCCAGGTACACATTTTAACAAAGAATAAAATTAAAATATATGCATATCAAAAACAATGGTTTTTATTAGAACAACACAGAATAAGTTGTTATTTTCTATTTTTACAAAAAACAAGTTTGAAAACAGGATCTAGTCCTCCAGCTTGATGTCATATTCCATTTATTTGGATATTTGAATAAAAGAATGTGAAATAATAATTGAAACTTGTCCAAAATTTGATACCAACACTGGAATGAACAGATACTATCACCTAAAAATAAAAGAAAACAGAACTTAAATTTATCATATAATGCTATGAAAAAATCTTAGATACTACAAGCATATAGTGAACACAACTCATTAACAAATTCACTAAAATAAGTTAAGTTATGCTACGATAAGAGGATGGCAATATATAACAACATCAAATGTTACCATCTTCAGTGTCCAAAAAAAGTGCCGCACGCATTTTTCGTGGTCGCATAACTGGCATTGCCACAAACCCAGGTGAAAAAGCAATTAGAAAAACCTGGTTTTGGGTGATGAGCATAGTCAAATTCTTGACTTATTCAATTTTCTAAGTTTTTCCAGGTAAACAGGTTCAACATTGAAATAAGCCCCATTCGGGATCTCATAGGGTCCAAAATATTGTGTATGGACCAGATTTTTTTCAATTTTCTGTGATTTACATAACACTAGTTATAATTTAAGGGTCAACCAGTATTGTTCAAGACATATTTTCCTTCCAGAACACCTTTTCAAAATACTAACCCAAGCATGTCAAAAACAGTGTACATTTACAAGGGCAATTTCAACCCTTTGGCACATTTTCCCCATGAATGATTTTAATTCTAATATAAAGACTATATAGATAAATCTTTGATTTAAAGCTAGTTTCAAGTGATGGGCATACCCTAAATTTTAAGCTATACCTCAAAGAAGATAGGTCATTTCAACATAAACATTGAAATATGGGTATACTGACAGCTCTGTCACACGTGTAGTTTGACATTAGCAAACCTTCTGAAACATTTTAATGAAAGTATAATTCACAAAGTTCACATTTTCACTTACTTCTTAACATCTGTTTTAATCCAACTAGCTCTGTAGGCACCAGCAAAATTTAGTGTTGATGTAAATATCCATTTTGTTCATGTTTCCCCGGTGAAAATATAGTCTATTCCAAAGCTGATTTCGACGTACTTTAGCTTTTCAGAAACCGTTGGCCTTCCTCAGTGAGATTATTAACTGTTTCACAAACATATTTGATAGTAAACAGCTAAAATATTCTCCGAAAGTCTATATTTTTGCTCTTCGACGCGAACATGGAAACTCAAAGAAGAAATGAGCCGCTATTTTTGGTCAGCGTCGACAAATTGCCTACCTGTTAGTGCGTGTTGTTCACAACCTCGTTCCCAGGGAATTTTCCTTCGCTTGGAGAACATACAGTAGAACCCCGCGAACTTGCTTAACTCGAACTCCTCGCTAACTCGAACTAAATCCAATTCCCCTTGGATCTGACACTGTTTTTATAGTAATTTAGTCCGCTTAACTCGAACCAGCCTCGCTAATTCGAACAAATTTTGTTTTCCCTTGGTCAAATTTATCAGAGTTGCAAAAAAGCTGCGGGCATGCGGCCATTACCCATTTACCCGTGAGGAAAGTTTACCATAGGCGAGGTCAGCGAGGAAGGTTTAGTAATCAACAGTCGCTAACACCGAAAAAGTGAAACAAATAAATCACAGTTAAATAGGCAATTGAGGCTGACAAGTTGTGGTGGTACTATTGTGATATAGTACCTATAACATATGACTGTGCCATTGGAGAATACGGAGAACACAACAACGAAAATATTCTGTAAAATTAAAATTAAAATGTATAAGTATCAAGTATCAGAGGCGCCTTAAACCATTGCAGTGCAAACAACAGGAGGCTATTACTAAGAGCTATTCATCATGGTTATATATTATTCAAAGATTATTTGATTACATGTGGCGGACTGTCGTGAATAGCGAACACTGATTGATCCAATTTAACTTTTGCATTATAACAACTGCATGACGACAGCGAAATAGCAAACACAATCAAAGATTAGATACGATAAAGATGTGCCACTCTGCGAAAATTATGTCCGAGATTTTTTTATAGCCGCCATTTTGCCAGTAAGTGTCAAATCCAACGCCATCAGTCTCTAAACTGAGTAAAATCCAACGCCATCAGTCTCGCCGCCATTTTTGGCAGTAAGTGTTATGCACTCGTCATCTCGCGTAATCACTCGCAAGGGTGGGGTAGTAGCGAAGTAGTTGTAGTTCGCTACTGTAGCGAACTACAATTTTCAAGTAGCCAGTAGTTTTTGACTACATTTTTAAAACAGTAGCTGTAGTTATAGCGAAATACATTTTGCCTAAAAGTACCCAAGTAGTGACTACTTTTCAAACAGCAAATCGCTATTCGCTACTTTTAAAAATTGTTAACAACTTGACAGAATAGCATGATATTGAGACACAGTTTGCTTAAAATCGATACTCAATAGTCAATTTGCACTTCTGAACACTGTAGTGATTACAAAAATGTTGCTTTGTGTTTACTGTTGCTACTCGTAAGTCGATTTGTTATAGGTTACATTATACAAATAATGAATGTTTATGAGTGCAATGGTAAGAATATTTTCATGAGGTGAAAGATGGAATGTTCCATTCAACGAGGCGACAGCCGAGTTGAATGGAACATTCCATCTTTCACCGAATGAAAATATTCTTACCATTGCACGAAGAAACATTCATTATTTGTTTTATATAATACCAAAATAGACTAATAGATTCGTATGAGAAGCATTTTGAGGGATGCGATTTATCGAAAACACAAAGAGTGCAATTGTACTATACGTTTTATTCCATTGCACTCGCGGAGAGTGCAATGGAACGTGTTCCATTGCACTCTTGGGAAATGGAATTTTCTATTCAATATCATGTGACCATAAACAGCCAATTAAATGATTAGAATTTAATAAGGTATTATATAATACAGTCTGAGTTAATAGTATAGATGCTCCAAATATACAGTAAAACTAAAAAATATAGCGTAGCGAAATAGCGAAATAGCGAAATAGTTCGCTACATTTTTTAAGCAGTAGCTGTAGTCAGTAGCGAACTACATTTGTTCAAAAGTAGCAGTAGTTGTAGCTGACTACATATTTTCGAAGTAGCTGTAGTTACAGCATATAATTTCAGTATATCTTTAATATTGATTCCCTTTTTTATTATATTGATTTTTTTAAATAAATAAAAAAGAAAGCAAAATTATTTGCATGCGAGAATTTGAAATAATTTTATTGCAAACTCAAAGACAAAGTTTAGTTTTATAAAGAACACTTTCAAACGTTTTGCGAAGCGTTTGTGGTTGAATTTTACCTTAAATTGAAGCTTATATCGTATATAATGACATACCTAACATATATATATGTTGGGAAATTGATAATTTTGTAATTGAAAGTGATATTTTTAGGCACAGAATAGGAATGTACAGCAGAAGCGTAACTCTAGTCGTTTCCCTTATTGTTTTACGTCCACGAAAATTTTAACTCGCTCACGTCAATCCACGTCATCCTGGCTAGTACAATCGGAAGTTTTTTATCAGGCTTTGGTAGGTACAAAGTGCCGGTTGTACTAGCCAGGATGACGTGTTGATGACGAATCGCTTGTAAAAACGCGGAGAAATACTTGCTTGAGTTACGCTTCGGCTGTACCTTCCTATTCTGTGTTTTAGGCGACTTTTCATTTGTAAAAATATTCTTAAAAAATTATCGTGTTACCATGACAACAACTTTAGATACTTCATGTTCGGAAAATGCAATGGTTTTGTCAGCAAGGCGAGGGTTTCTGCATGCATATATTTTCTAGTAATTTTGATGAACAGTATAATAAAACTTTTATACCTTATTAATTATTAATTATTAACATAATAAACGAAATCAGACACCAACTCCGGTTAATTCGAACCCCCGCTAACTCGAACAATTTTTCGCTCCCCTTGGGAGTTCGAATTAGCGGGATTCTACTGTAATTTCCATCGAAAATCTCTCGTAATGTAATGTCCAATGTCATAAATTCGAAAAAGTGGACGACTTGGATCCAGTCTTCTCCGCACACATCTCCGATAAAGCCAGGCTAATGCGACCGGGTTTTAGCCGATTCATGTCTCCCTGTTTATGAATTCTCAATCCTGACCCTATATAATGATAATAATGCAGCTCATATATGACCAACTGTTAATTATTTATTATATTAGGGGCCGACCATTTAACTTTTGAGGGGGGGCTGCTGGCAGGGAATTTTTTTCTGGGATCGTTATGGGCAAGTTTTTTTTCCTATCCTATCACCATGTACGATTTTTTTCCACTCTCTTTCGCAGCATTTTTTTTCAATAGCTTATACTATATTTAAATTCTTTAATAATAGTTAACGTTCAGTTTTCGAGCTTCATGCAATGCTTTTAATAATACATATTGCTATGAGGTATAACATTTGGTTCAGGGCCTCTTTTAAGGATGTGTAACTGGAGGGGACATATTTAGCGGGGGACCTGGAGAAGTTCCAGTCGGCTAGTCTGTATCACTGCAGCTACCTGCAGCATATATATGCATGGTTTAACTAATAAGTATACGTCATAGGGCAGCAGATCAGGCCATAACTAGGATTCTGAGACAACCGAGTCGAAGGTGCGAGCCTCCAGAGGGGTCTGGGGGCATGCCCCCCAAATCGATCCCTGCAACCATGCTTTTTCTTATAACATTTTTTCCCCCCAAATACTGGGGCAGGATATCCCCCCCCCCCCATTTGTTAGTGCAGGTTGTTTTTTGTTTGTTTGTTCAGAATAGCCTTGCAGGATTTTTTTTTTCAAAACCACCCCCTCCCCCCCTAAAAAAAGTCAAATGATCGGCCCCTTAAAGTAGACAACTTCAGGTGTTTAATAGCCATTCTGCAATCTGATTGGCTCTCCACAAAAAAAACAAGATGGCGCCTAGCGAAAACAAGATGGCGACACGAAAAGACGAAAACTGCAAGTCTTGGCCGTCTTATGAATCCGTCAATCCGAGAAACTGTCGGATGCTCATTGCTTATGAAAGTACTAACATACAAATTGTTCAGAAAATGTCGCAAGGAAAAACAAATTTGCACTCAACAAGAAGTTACGTGACCTTTGGCTTCGCTTAATAAAACATCTATCAGGAGGGTGGGGACGGGAGTATGGATCACGTCTCACCACGAAAAAAAAGTCGTTTCACGATTCACGTGTCAAATCGTGTCAAGTCGTTTCACGATTCACGTGTTAAAAGCAATTTCACGGAAAACTAGATTCAAATAATATAATATCATAATAATTAATAGGTCTATTAAGTACTGTTTAATAAACGAGCAGGAGTGTTTTATTAGGTTTAATAAAACACGACCTGCGAGTTTATTAAACGGCTTCAAACACGACTACAAATTCAATAGATATATACTGCCTTATTAGTATTCTTTATATAAAAAATACTAATGTGGACACGACTACAATAGATACTGCCTTATTAGTATTCTTTATATAAAGAATACTAATTTGGAGTGTTTTATCAGGTTTAAAGCCACTGCACGTGACATGTTATAGTTTACATGATTTGCCAATAAGCTTATGAATTATTAATGAGTGTTTGAAGTACTGTTTAATAAACGAGCAGGAATGTTTTATTAGGTTTTTCCAGCTGTGTAATCGCAAAAGACGTTAAAGTTAATATTATCCTGTTTCGAACCTGATGTTCTATTGAATTTCAAGGTCTCTGTAGCAGAAACGTGAATTTACACCAGTCTGAAAATTGTACTTTTCGAATCTCCGGTCCATAGGCTTTCTGTCGACGCCCTATTCGTTTTTGTTTTTGTTTTTATTAGCTTCGCCAACTAGGGCAGGGTCACCACAACAGCATATGCCAATTACTGTGGGCCCTTTTACCTAACCCACCCTGTCAACTTTTCCCTGTGGGAGGAAACCGGAGTACCCGGGGAAAACCCACGGCGTTCGGCAGAGCGTTGACTTTTTACTCTTTTCACATGGGGACTGGGTTCGAGTCGCACTGAGAAGGTACTTAGTGAGATTCGAACCTGCAGCCTCAGAGGTGAAAGGCAAGTGCGCTAACCACTTGGCCACCGTAGCCCCAATGTAGGAGTAAAGACGTTGCTAAAGGATCATGATGTCCACTACTTTTCCACAAGAACCTTCCGGAAAGCCGCACTTGTTGAAAGATTTAATAGAACCCTTAAAACAAGGATGTGGAAATATTTCACGGAAAATAGGACGAAAGTTTGGGCGGACGTTCTACCTAACCTTGTCAGATCCTATAATAATACCATACACAGAACAATAGGGATGAGGCCGGTGGATGTGAACGAGGAAAATAAGGACGAAGTTTGGACAAGGATTTACGGATATCCACTAAGCAGTTTTCCAAATCCCAAATTTAAGATCGGGGATCATGTTAGAGTGGAAATAAAACATAAAACCTTTGAAAAGGGATACGAACCCAATTTTGATAATTAAGTATACGTCATTACAGCGGTGTTTCGAGGAGATCCAAACATGTACAGCCTTAAGGATCCTGAGGATGGGGAGGACATCCTAGGAAGATACTACGAACAAGAATTATCTTTAGACTTAATTAAATAAAAATGGACACCATAGAGATGAATGACTTCGACCAACCGGAAGGGGCTGAAGGAGGTGATGAGGGGGTTACACCTGTTGATGAAGACGATTTCCGGGGCGGACTAAACGACAACGATAGACTAGACGATGCAAAAACCTCCAGTTTCTATGAAGAGAATAAAGACGACTCCTACCGAAAAAGGAGTTAGACGAACTGTACACATACGGAAAATTCGACGACATAAAGTCAGAATATATTAAAAGACTTCAGGTGTCCGATTACCGTATAAATGCGGACGATGGACCAGTTTCTAGGGACCTTTTATCCCGTTTGGACATCACTAGAAATAAGCTGACATTCAAAGGAACCGAAATCGCTTACATTGATACAAGTGGTATATACAGATTTTCTACCAACAAAAGATATAAAAAATTCGTATCGGAATTCAATACCAAATTCAACATAGCAGTCGGAGAACACATAACGAAGGCTAGAAGTGTAGTCGAAGAGGAAACCGGAGGAGAAGCATCAGGAGAAACCGCAGAAGATATCCTCGAGGATGCTAGGGAAGAACTACATCAGGAAACCATCACTGCGAGTGAAACTCTTGCAGAACAAGCGGGAAGGTTGGAAAGAGAAGGTAAAATAACCACACAGGATAGAAGGGAATTTGTGGGAGTAACCGCTCCTAAAGGACCCCCGTAAGTTAGGATTGAATCCCTAAAAACCCAAAAGGTAATATTTGAAACAACATAGAACTCGAAACAGATCCTGATAAACGACAAATTATGCAAAAGGGTAGGGATGTTGCCGAACAGGGTATTGATGACGCCAGGTTAGAAATGGGTCAGCAACCCGAATCAGAGGAGGGAAGACACAGGTTTAGGGAAAAAGTAAGGGAAGACATCCGAACAAGATTCGAGAGATTCCGTAGGTGGGCAAAGGAAAACCTGGATGCGCTAACCGCTATCGCTATTTCCGTCGCTGGAATCATCACTACGATTGTATTGGCAGGAAAGAAGACCATTGTGAGAGCATCCAAAGGACTAGGAGCTGTAGGAAAAGCACTGGCCGGACTTGCAAAATCTGCACTACCAATCCTAGTACCTATCCTAAATCTGCTAAGTGCTATTCTAAGCTGGGGAGCTAAGGATCTTGCCTTTCTCGCCAAAAACCTATGGATTGTGGTAATCCTAATTGCTGGAGCTATATACAAGTACTTTCAAAGCAGACAAAAGAAATAAATTTTACTAAATTTAACATAATGGATCGAACAGCTGAACTTATGCCAAACTTTCGGCGTATGAATAGGACAGAAATCACTGGGAGTAGGACCAGACATGTCCTAACTTTTAACCCCAACTCCGCTAAACCGGGAGAAGAAATTTACGTCAATATCCCAAAGCTAAAAGCCGACTCTGTTCTTGTACCGGACAGTATCGCTTTGGTCTTCGACTTTAAGAACAGTAATACAAAATCCTGGTTTAGAAACAACCTAGGTAAACTTCTTCAGAAAAGACTAGAAATCCGACTTGCAGGAGAAAAAGTCTACGACAACAGTGGAGAAAGCCTACTGGAAGTCTACAAAGACCTATGGTTGCACAAAAAAAACAGCGTGATGCTGTACATGGTGGAGGACGCAGTGGTGACAAGTAACGAAGTAAATGTACTTCGTTACTTTACTTGAGTACTAATTTTGAGAAGTGAGCAAGTAACGAAGTAAATTTTTGACAGAGTACTTCTACTTGGAACGAAGTAAATTAAAAAAGTAACGTTTTACTTCGTTATTTTTATTTTGCGGTGAAGTATTCCGTTACTTTTATGGTATTATCAAATTTTAGTTCTATCTTTTACCTGATTCGGTGATTTCTAAAATGAATTTCGATTTTTAAACTCGACTCCAATCGCAATCAAATTTATAGTTATTTACACGAAGTACAGACAATTAATATATTCCGCTGAACACATGCGACAATACACGCGTTTCGCGCCAAATTATTGCGCCAAATTCACTGGCCCAATCATTGAACTCTACCCGAATTGCTTGGGCAGCCATGGCCGACAGTGATTTGCATATTGCAGACGAAGTCTTGAACGAAGGACAAGGACTAGAAGGTGTTAATACTATCGGTGAAAAAGGAGAAGAGGAGGAACATCCTTTGCCATATTTGAAGTCAATGTTTCGCTACAATGGAAGAGTGGGAAGAGAGAACAAGAGCATCAAATTCATATGTTGCCTTTGCTCGCCACTTGTTAGAGAGATATCTGCGTTCATTTCGTCGCCTTCAAACCTAAGAAAACATGTACAGGTAAGCTGTTTTATGCCTTTGTCTGTTTGGTAATGGTAGGGTTCTAAAAACTTGAAATTGCCACCCGGGAATTCATCGGATGTAGTGTAGTGCAGTTGACAAATACATTTCTATACAAATAATCATGTAAAATATCTAAATATGTTCCTCACCGGAGGGTGCGGATAGAAATTGGAATAGCCCAATGTGCGGTTACGTTAAATTTCAACGAAGTTTTAAGTTTTAAAAAGGAAACTAGGTTTGTGTTCAGGTCAATGTATGTATGTAATGTTTGTGTGTCATTGTGTGTGTTGGGGAGGGTGTGTGTGGAGGTGTGGAATATAAATGATATATTGCAAGAATGGTCCCCAGCTATAAAATTTAACTACCCTAAAACTCCGATTATAAGCCCTGGGCTTATATCAGTTTGTAAGTGTTTTTTTGATGAGCTTACACACAGGAAGGCGCTTATATTCGGGGGTGGGGCTTATACATGAACGACCAAGTATTTTTATTACTAATCATAGACCTGTATATTGGTTAAAAACTTATATAGTGGTTATAAACCTGTATATTTATTGTTAATTATATATCTGTTTAGTGGGCTTATATTGGAGGCGGGGCTTATATTAGGGGGGGTGATTATTCTTGGAGTTGAACATTAGTAATGTGATGGGCTTATAGACAGGGGGCTTATATTCGGGAGAAGGCTTATAATCGGAGCTAGGTTTACGGTAATTGGTATAGAAGTGTTACAACTAGCTGTTCTCCTAGATGTGACAAATAAAATTTTAGAACTTATTTGAAACTTGTGTTTTAATGGTTTAATATTAATTCCCAAAAAGGCTATTTCAAGGTGTCCAAATTGTAAATATTTAACAATTGCTTTACTTTTAATGTACTTGGATTGCAGAGGCAACATCCACATCATCTGAAGCGCTACACAGAACTGACCAGTTTGAAAAAAAGGCAAAAAAGGGCTAGGGAGTCAGAGCCATGTACATCAAGTAACCCACCAGCAAAGCAGTTACGTGTTTATGAGTGTAAAACCAACACAGTCTCGCAAAAAAAAGTGGACAGGCTTATACTAAATTTCATCACTGAGGGCTTGCAGCCTTTCACTATTGTTGGCTTGTCTGCATTCAAAGAACTGGTGACCAGCCTTTCCCCT